GCTGTCCCCAGAAGTCCACACCAAAAGGATATCAGCAGCGGCATATGCTAGATTCACCAACATAAGAACTGCCTTTAGAAACTTGTGTAAGGAATCGTTCAGGACCTTGTATACCACTTATGTCAGACCAATCCTGGAGTATGCAGCTCCCGCCTGGAGTCCATACCATGGACTCCAGACACACCTGCCTCCCCTCCCCTCCCCTCCATCCATCGTCCTCCAGACACACCTGCCTCCCCTCCCCTCCATCCATCGTCCTCCAGACACACCTGCCTCCCCTCCCCAGCGTCCCTCCATGAACACATGCTTTCCCCTCCCCCAACCTCATCCCCCCCACACACACCTCTCCATCCCCACCCCAGCTTCCCCTCTTGACACATTCCTTCCCCTCCGCACCCCAACTTCCTCCCCACACACCTGCCTCTTTTCTCCCCCCCCCCCCCCCCCACACAGGAAGGACAAACTTTGGCCGGCAGTCACTTACCTTATCTCTCACCGCCCGCATGGGTGTCATCGAACTCCTGCTCCTTATCACTGACTTCCTGCCTCGGTCCTCCCTGGGGCCACCTCTTCCCACTTGGGGCAGGCCACAGTGTTCCACTACCCCCTCTTCCCACCTGGGGCAGGCCACAGTGTTCCACTACCATCTCTTCTTACTTTGGGTGTGCCACAGTGTTCCACAATGAATTTTTGTTGGTGGATTTGGAATATTTTTGTTGGATGATTTGGAATTGTTTGGTTGTTGAATTTTTTTTTTTTTGTTGGTGAAAAGTCGAAACACAGTCAAAAAAAGTGTCAGAAACTGTTGGTATACTCTCTAAAATCAGATATTATATTTCCCACTCTGCTCTTCTTTTACTGTACTACTCGCTAGTCTATCCCTATACTAGATAGGATACTGCGGTAAATTATTGCAAGCCCATCATCACCCAGCAAAAATCTGCTAATCATAACTATAATAAAAACTCAATTGTCAGACAACACACAGCCCCTCTGATTAAATCCCTAAACATGTTAAACATACATTTACTCCACACCTTCTTTTGTGCTGTTTACATGTACAAAACCTTGTTCCTAAATGCTAATCTTGATCTGAAACTCTCCCTGGATAGATGTAATAGAACCCATGAGTACCACACCAGAAATAAATACAGTATCCAATATCTCCAGAGTCAGACTAAATCTGTGCAAACACTCATGCAAATAAAAGAACTCAGTCTAAGGAAGTCACTCTCCGGTGAATTAAATAAAAATTGTCCAACCAATGCTTTATACAAAAGTAAAACCAAAAAGTCCCTACTTTCATCCTCATAGTGTCATACCTTGTGCTCCAAACTCACATTGTACCATGTGTTACCAAGTACTTAAGTACCACACTAAAGTACTAAAGTACTTTTTAGTACTTTAGTACTTGGTAGCTTGTGCTACCCAATTTTAATACAGTACTTGAGACATGCAACTTCACCAGTATAATCAACACTATCAATTTATATTATAGTTATTATGTTGAACTCAAATTTGGCTACAATGTACCTATTAATATTCTTACCATTATCTGTTAGATTAAGGACCTCCCTGAAAAGCTATGCGTGTTAGTGACTTTGCAAGAATGTAAGAAACACAAATGTTATATACTCTCACAACCCAATGTAACTTCTTGTATATAAATAAATAAATACGTAAATAATAGTTACATTGTGACAGGTGTGGCAGCGGAATGCATGTGTGACAGGTGTGTGGAAGTGGGATGCATGTGTGACAGGTGTGGCAGTGGGATGCATGTGTGACAGGTGTGGCAGTGGGATGCATGTGTGACAGGTGTGTGGCAGTGGGATGCATGTGTGACAGGTGTGGCAGTGGGATGCATGTGTAACAGGTGTGGCAGCGGGATACCAATATGGGAAGGGGAAGTACTGTAGTGTACATGGAACTCGGAGAGGAAACCAACAATTGAGTAGTGGGTATGGGTGTACCCTGGCAGCCAATGGAAGCCACTGGGGTATAGGGCATGCCCATTACAGTACGACCTGGCCTCTCTATGACCCCGTCTTCTCTATCTGTGACCCCTAACCTCTCTACCTGTGACCCCTAACCTCTCTACCTGTGACCCCTAACCTCTCTACCTGTGACCCCTAACCTCTCTACCTGTGACCCCAACCTTTCTAACTGTGCATCTGGTCTCCCAACCAGTGACCCCGGACTCTCTACCAGTGACCCTGGCCTCTCTACCAGTGACCCCCGGCCTCTCTACCAGTGACCCTGGCCTCTCTACCAATGACCCTGGCCTCTCTACTTATGATCCTTGCCTTATCAGTGACCTCCTACAACCTTTATCTGTGACCTAAACCTTCTCTACCAATATGGTCATTGAACCAGACTTTTTTTTGTTAAGGCTTTTACATTAGCAAATCATTTATTTTTTATTTAACCTTTTAATTTGTTTGAGCTTTCAAAAAGGTGATGTTTTGTTTCTCGGAGCTGCACTTTGTTTGCTGCTCACAACAGATTACCACTTCAGTATTAGTTTCAAGTAGGAGGTAGTGGAAGAAATGTTGTCTGTTGATTACTTACAATGACATTTGTTTATACCAGTTAATACCAGTTAAACATTAATTTGTATCAATTAAACATTAATTTGTACCAATTAAACATTAATTTGTACAAATTACATTCATTTGTACCAATTGCGCTTGAATCAGTTGCAGTCATTCGTACCAGTAATATTCTTTCGTACCAATTACATTCATTCATATCTATTACATTATTTTGTAAAATTACATTAATTCATACAATTACATTCATTCATCCTATTTACATTCATTTGTACCTGTTACATTTGTCTGTACCAATAACATTCATTTATACCAATTACATTTAGTCATACCAATTACATTTAGTCATACCATTTACATTCATTTTTACCAGTTACATTTGTTCATACCATTTACATTAGTTTATACCATTTGGATTAATTTCTTACCAATAATAATAATAATAATAATAATAATAATAATTTTTATTTAGGCAAAAGTACATACAGTACATATTACATAGGATATATGAAGAATGTAAGACTTAAAGGTGAGGCAAGTACTATGCATAAAGTCACTAATACACAGAGTATTTCAGCCATAATGTGGAAAACAAAAATTGTAAAAACTAAAGAACTTAAAACTAAGTGAGATCAAAAGCAAAACTGAATTGAAGTATGTACTGTAGAGAAATATAGAAAAATGACAATTATTACATGGAGATTGAAACGGCAGAAATCGCAACAGAACAAGAGATACTGGATTCATTTTCAGAGAATAAACAAAAGGAATTCAAATTTGTATTAAATTTTTGCATGACAGATACCAACAGTAAGTAGTACAGGTGCAATAATTAATGTTCAATGACAGCAAAACATAGTTTAACATTTACGAAGTAAGGTAGGTTACATGGAGTTGACGATAGTTCTTAGTTTCTATTAAACTGGCTGAGAGGGGGACATACTTTGATGTGATTAGGGAGGTCATGCCACATTTTGGGACACTTGATTTGCAGAACATTTCTACTTTGGTTAAGTCGCACTCTTGGAATATCAAATACAGTACTGTAGATATTTGTGGCTAGTGTGGTGCCCATGTGTTATGTTACAACCCTCTAGAAAGTGCTTAAGGTTGGGAGTTCCATTGCAATTCAGTGTCCTAGTACCGTACAGTACTTGCATCATTATTATATTTGCACCGTCCTCATATGTCCACCTTCTTAATATTTGCATCATTATGATAGTTGCAACATTCCAATTTGTTCACCATCTTGACATTTTGCAAGTTACAGTGGCAGTAGTTTTCCTACTAAACTCATAAGTGAAGAGGCACATACATACATTGTGCATTACTTTTATGTTCTTTGTACAAACATACTTTTGAATGACCATTATTATTATTATTATTTTGAGTTATTTAATAATATATTTATTCAGAAAATTATATATATTCAAGAAGATACATTGGTTTGTGGGAGTACATAACATTGGTGTTCTTACATTCTTGTAAAGCCACTAACACGCATTCCGTTTAGGGCAGAAACACTATGAATTAAGCATATTATTAAGTAATGGTAATGTCTTTGATATGATTATTATTATTATTATTATTATTATTATTATTATTATTATTATTATTATAACAACTTAAAATTTCCTTCAGGAGGAACGTTTTATACTTTAATTCAAAGCAAACTAGCTTCCAGAGTGTAATTATGTACCAGGTTGTTGCAAAGACATAACTGCCTTACAAATATACAGTATAGCCATATTAGAAAAAAAGAGCCTTCATATCTGCACTAGTGAATCTAGACTCAGAATTTCCCTGAATTTACCTGAGGGCTACTGTATCTAGTGGCACCAATGGGGAAGCTAGCAGTTTGTCGAAGGTCTTTCTTAGTCTTGATGATTTTTTCCAGCTGAATTTTGAACTCTAGTAATGTCTTGGCATTTATGGCTTCAGCACGTACGTAGTTGATTCCATGGGTTTATTGTCCTATGGGTAAAAAAAAAAAAAGAGTTTTGTTTTCTGTCCTACATTGTGACTTGAAGCTCTTGCCCTTTGTTTGAGTTACATTTAACTTGAGGGATACTTAACTGTGGGAGCAGTGTACAGAATTCCTAACTACAGAAGTAACAAATTTTAACTCCAACCTCAGAAATTGAATAAGCAACAAACTTAAAAAAAAAAAACTAACACTCAGGTGATTTTAATATTGACCTCTGCCAAATCTAATAACCCCTCAAGTTACTAGTTTCCTCAACTTTATGAACTCCTGCATCTTTATACCCCCCTTGATCACTATACCTACCAGAATTACGGAAATGACTGCCTCTATTCTTGACCACATCTGGACAATCATAACCCTCTCCACTAACCTCAGGAATAATCATTGATAGGACTACAGACCCCCACATTCAGACCCCCACATACTACCCCACATTTGTGTAATAATGTTTTTTTTTACAGGAGGCATGAGGTGATGGGGCAGGTGGTGGGGGCAGCGGTGGTGGTGGTGGCCACGCTGGGGTGTGTGCTCAGCCCGGTGCTCTCCTCCCCTGACGCGGACTCCTCTGACATCCGGAGTTTCAACATCGGTGGCATCCTTTCTGACACGGAATCTGACGCTCACTTCAAGTTGACTATATCGGTAAGTAAATCACAGCGGGATAAACATCTTCATTTACAATTAAGCTAGTGTCATAAGTAAAATTAAGTTCCAGTAAAATTATTTTCCAAAGTTAATATGGCTCAAATGAAACTTTGTTATACAAAAAATTAGACTTTAAGTTTGCCATGTTTTCACTATCAGGAAGCATGCTAGGATTATTGAGTTTCTCCTAGGTAACTATTGATCATCCCTAAAATGCAATCCACAACAATTGCAACAAACCCTTTAAAGTTCTTAGGGTTAGGTTGTAATTTCTTTCTCTCAATATCTTTAGTGATGATTAAGTTAGTGATTTGCTAGTTCTAGTTAATCATGTGATAGTTCCAGAGATTAATAAATGTCACAATTACGCTACTTGTTAATACTAATTCACCTGAGCTGTTGTAGATGGCTTCACTGTGAAATGAATTAAGATACTTAATGTTACAAGTTTTTTATGCAAATTTGAAATTAATATTTATGCAAGAGAACATAGAACAGTTCACCTGATTTATTGCCACAAATGCAAGAGATTATTTGTGGTTCAAGAAAGGCCAGGTATGAACTCAAAAAAAAAAAAAAAAGACAGTTCAGAAGTATTTAAGCTTGAATTATCAAAGTCTGTGAACCTGTGAGCCAAACGCTCAGCTTCAACTGATGTTCTCACGTGTTGCCAGCAGCAGATAAACGTTAACAGGTCATACGTGGACCCCAACAAAACGTTGTTGAAGGACGTCACCATGCTCATGGACTCCAACCCCATCCGCACAGCTCTCGATGTCTGCAAAAAACTAGTCTCCAAATCGGTGAGTTACAGCTGTCTTTTGTCTTTTATGGATATATTATAACCAATATTATATTATATTATATAATATTATATTACAGTATATATTTACAGTTTCAAGTAATGTTACAGACTTCCACACCACATACTCCTGACAATTTAAAATTGGCAATTACAGAAAAATTTATGTCAGAATGTTACATAGAGCTGCAACCAATCTCAGAGTGTATTACTGTAGAAGGAGCTCAATTTGAACATTTGATTACCATATATGCTGGCATTAAGTCGACCCCAAAAATTTAGAGGTGTAATTAAGGTTTAGGCCTATATTTGCTTAATAAAATGACCCCCCCCCCCAAAAAAAAAATAAGGCAGCACCACTTCCCATGCCCCACTGTAAGGAATACACTACGGTACCACATAATTATACTGTAGCTTAACGAATATTTACCACATAAGGCAGGTGGTGTAAGTGGTTTTCAGGGAAGACAGGTGATGTCAGTAGTTGTCAGGGAAGTCAGGTGGTCAGAGTTTGTTGGGTGGTGTCAGTGGTTGTCAAATGTCAACTTATACTGCCAGAATATACAGTAAGTAATATGAAAATAATAAAGAAAATAATAAATACCATACAGTTCATTTTCTTTATGAGAACAGACCTTTTTTATACCCTGGAAGATTTATATGGCTTAACTTATACTGTGTACTTATGAATACTCCACTGTATCGTGTTCAAATGTATTTTATATAAACAAAATTGTATTACTATTATTATTATTGTTATTGTTATTGTATGAGGTTGTGTTAATGGCAATGGCATTTACAGGTGTATGCGGTGGTGGTGTCTCACCCCCTCAACGGCGACCTGTCACCAGCCGCAGTCTCCTACACCAGTGGCTTCTACCATATCCCTGTCATTGGCATCTCCTCCAGGGACTCTGCCTTCTCTGATAAGGTGGATAATCGACATGATTCAAAGCAGATAGAATTGAATTAATAGTTAGCATCCTAGTTCATTTTTGCATTGATAATAGATTACTGTACAGTAATTGTACATAAGACTTAAAATATATATTTTGTGTTTATAGAAGGCAAACTCATGAATGATATTGCAGTAGCTGTTAGAGCTAAGCACCTCAGTTGTTTCCCGAGTAACCAAGGAACAAATCAGAAAGTTCAATTTCAATTTTATTGACATCCTATTTTTTTTGCATTGGTAATAAATTAATAATGTAATTTTAAATAAGGGTTTTCTCAGTAAAATAACAAGCTTAAACAAATCATGATAGAAATTAAAAGATAAAAACATAATTTAGATCTTTTAGTAGCTGTTTGTTTGGTGATACCATAATTATCATAATACATTGGACTTTGTAAACTGTCCACAGAACATCCATGTCTCATTCCTGCGGACAGTGCCACCATACAGTCACCAGGCAGATGTATGGGTAGAGCTCCTCAAAACCTTTCAATACACACAAGTCGTCTTTGTTCACTCTTCGGACACCGACGGACGTGCCCTCCTCACACGCTTCCAGAACCAGGCACAGAGCCACGAAGACGATAAGGATATAAAAGTTAGTCAAACACACTTATCAGCTCAGTGTACCACTGTTGTTATTCGTATGTTAGAATCTGAAGACGTTAAAACAACGAAGAAATTTAGAGATATAAAATATGTATTGCCACTAATATAGTCTCATATTATTGAAAAATAATCACATGACACCTTTGAGCACAGTGTAATAAATAAATAAATGTTTATTCAGGTAAAAGTACATACATACAAGGTGAGTTACAAACAGAATGTTGGATTTCTAGATGCTGTATAGGGATCAGCTCTTGAAAATTGTGTTTATGCTATACTCTGCTTATATATTACATGCACTTGCAGATGGAAAATGTAATAGAATTTGAGCCTGGCCTTAATTCATTTGTGGACAAGCTCAAGGAGATGCGGGAGGCCTCAGCTCGTGTCATTCTGCTCTATGCGAAGTAAGTAACAAATTAGGGTTTTTAAAGTGCAGGTAATCAACTTCTTCTGCTGTTATTTCCTATCTTAAGTTGTTCTGATGACCTGCTATTCCTTATTTGTTCGTCGGAGTCCAGTATATAATTAACACAACATTGGGTTACATTGATTTGATGGTACAAGGGTAAGCATTTTTATACTAAGTTTTGAAATGTGTTTGTGGATTTTGGTGGTGTGCAGGCTGAATATGGAACAACACAGATTAGTGGGGATAATTACAATAATGGTGACCAAACCACACATCAAGAAAATGGAGAAACGATGACATTTCGGTCCATCCTGGACCATTATCAAGTCGTGTAATAGAAAGAGAGGAAGGGACAGACAAATAAATAAGGTAAGAGAGTGAGATAAAAGGTGAGGAGCAAGTAAGAGAGTAAGAGAAAGAAGAAGGTAAGAATAAGAGGAACGTAAGAATAAAATAGAAGGTAAGAATAAGAAGACGCACAAACCTGGCCGGTATGATGACATTCATGTCTTTGTGAGAGCAGTACATAGCCCAAGGAAGTGACTGAGTAGCTTGCTCAGAAAGATGCTGTTTTATCTACACTCACTGCCTTCCTGTTTTCTGCCCTGTACTTCATAAATTTGTTTACACTTGTTCTATTTCTGTAAACTGGCTTTCTTAGACAATTTTTCATCTTCATCTTTCTTACAGCAAGGAGGATGCTGGAACCATCTTCCATGATGCTAGCTACATGAACATGACTGGGCGAGGGTACGTGTGGGTGGTGACTGAGCAGGCTCTCAATGCCGAGCACGTTCCAGCGGGAGCCATCGGTCTCAAACTTGTCAATGCCTCTGATGAGGATGCTCACATCACAGACAGTTTGTGAGTCCTACATTTGAATGATTTATTCTTAGAGGATCTTTCTCTTTATGTTTGTCTGAATTTAATGCACAGATTTGGCAGCAAGCTCACCGGTAAACACAATGTGGTACTGTACATAGTTTATATAGTTTATATACATTATATAGTTTTGTTAGTAGGTTTATGTACAATTTTAGAATGCATAATATACATAGCATGTGTGATGTGTATAGCATATGCTGTATATTGTATATCCTTAGGCATATATATATATTGTATCCTTTAAGATGTAATCCCTGGAAACACAAACCGACACTATCTCTATTTTCCACTTGTTACAACTTGTAATCTAGTTGTTACATCTTGGCTTAATGTGTTTATGACATATTAGAATGTTGTTACAACTTGCTATATTGGTTGTTATAACTGGTTAGGTGTTAAAACTTGTTCGAACGTTGTACCAACGTCGTAGTTTTGGTGTGTGTTTGGCGGGATAACTGGTATATAAAGTTTAGCTTTTGTTGTTATTAATGTAAATGTTTCTTTTAGTTAAAATACCAGTTTGTTTTATTTGTGTTAAATTTTATGTTGCATTTGTGTTTGAGAGTATGTATTAGTAAATGAGAATGATTCCATGTGTAAAGTTTTCCGGCACATTTTCATGAGAGGAGTGTCCCTGCACTCCACGAGAGAGGGCTGAGACTCTACACACACACACAGGTTGTATGGTATGTGCTCATGAGGTACCCACCTCCCTGTGTGAGATTATTGACCTCCATTTATATCTGAGTGACTGGAACTGTAATCGTTAATTGGGTGAGTGAGAGACTTTTCCTGGTTTGTGTGTTAGCTCTTTTTCTGTGTTTAGATAAATATAATGTATGCACTTTGATTATTTCTTGAGTCCTGCCAATGCAAAAATATGATGCCGGTCCCACATGGGCATTCCTGTGTTTGAAGTGTTTATAAATGCATACTGGTTCTACATCCTGTGGTTTAGAGTAATGTACCTATACTGAAAATAAGAAAGTAAGGACGGGTTTGCAGGCGATGAGTCACAATAACGTGGCTGAAGTATGTTGACCAGACCACACACTAGAAGTTGAAGGGACGACGACGTTTCGGTCTGTCCTGGACCATTCTCAAGTCGATTGTGACTTCTTGAGAATGGTCCAGGACGGACCGAAACGTCGTCGTCCCTTCAACTTCTAGTGTGTGGTCTGGTCAATAAGGATGGGTTTCATGAGTTCGTACTGTAAAGTATGGTTTACCAGCTCTTGCCCTTACACTCCCTTACAAAGAAAGCCATTGTATCATGTAGGATCAACAACTCTTAAACATATTAAGATCATCTCCACATTGTTTAGTGTTAATGAATGAATCAACACTTATAAAGTGCTGGTTTAGCTGCCTCTTAATTTAGGTAATTACCACTTGCTTGACTGCATTAATTGAAAAGCAGTGAGAGAAACCTTAGAAGGTATTAAGAAGTTGAAAATTAAAATTAATTAGCAAGACATCAGAACAACACCAGCAAGGAAAGCACATATGGCTTGTATTGGAAAAATAATAATGATTGAAACACTATATAATGTGTTAATTTGAAAACTCCTGGCTTTAATTTTTCCTAGGTACATACTAGCAATGGCCATAAAGAAGCTGCGAGATGACGATAACACAACAACGGAGCAGCCTCCGCAGGATTGTAACAACACTGGCACTTCCTGGGAAACAGGCAAAAAGCTCTTCCAGTGAGTTAACATCTGCACTATCCAGTCTTCTTTCTCAACACCTGCAAAACATTTCCCCATTTCTGAGCTATCTCACTTTAGTTGCCCATTAAGGTAAGGTTCCGCAGTCTAAGGAGGACTGACTCATGCCATCAGACAGAGCAATATTCGAGGTGTTGGCAAATTATAAAACTTTTCTTTCAAATGCCCCTACAAAATTGTAGTAGCACTAGGAACTACTGGAGGATATTAGGCAGCTAAATTGAGGTGTAGATAGGTCAGATTATATGGACTTAAATATCTATAAGTCCATTTTGACAACCTGGAGATCACCCAGGAGTACCCCAGCAAATTACCAGTTAGTTTGTCAGGCTTCTACCCATTCTACTAGCTGACAACAATATGAACCACAATACAGACCTCTTTGTCAAGCCACCTCTGGCTATTTGCTAACTTTTTGTGTCAAAGGGAGAAGCAGAGAACAGTTCAGGAAAGAGGCTTTGAGTGCATATGAGATGCACATTTCTTAGAAGGCACACTTGCTTGCTCCTGGTCCCTTCCTTATTCCTGGGCTTTCCTATACACACAGTTTTCTTGTCTGAAATGACGTGAGGATGTTTGGTGATGTGGACTGTGTTCTGGTTCAGGTGATACCATCTGGTAATGGGTGGGGTAGGTGACTGACAAGTCAACTGGTAGTTTAGGAGGGGGGGGTATTCCATGCTGCTCTCAGGGTTCCCAAGAAGAGTTTGTGAAGGCTTGAGTGTGTATGATTTAAGCTTTCTGCAGCTAACTTTAAATGGGTGATGCTCTCCAGTGCTCCCTAATACAGATCCGGATATGTTTGAAAAGTTTATCAGTTCACTAGTATCTTGAATGTGACCCTGCCTGACTTGATTATATGCTACTCCTTAGACTGCAAAATCCTACCTTAGGGAGCAATGAAGTACTTATAAATGTGTTTTTCATATTCATTGAAGGCCTATTTCTGAGCTAGGACCCTCTTGAATGTTTCCATAGTCAGCTTCTTCATGATCCACCCAGGATTTATATCATTTATCAAGCTTATGTTATTTTTGTCCACATCATGACAGGCATCGTTATAAGTGGTTCTGTCTGCCTGAAACGCTATGCGTGTTAGTGGCTTTGCAAGAATGTAAAAACATCAATGCTCTGTACTCTCATAAACTTTGGAAGTTTGCAGTAGTTGAATCCCATGTACAGATACCATAAGTTGCCCAAAATGCTTTGTGTAATATTGGTTTCATTAGTACAGTATGTGTAACTACTGTTCCCACAATTGTACATTATTCTTATGTTCTTTGTACACACATTCTTTTGAATAAAAATTTGAATTTGAATTTATGTTAGAAATGAATGTTTAATGCACTGGACATATCGATTGTCTTATAGCGAGTTGGAGGATTGGTTGTGAACTGAGATAGACTTTCTAATGTCTACCTTCCCCAATTATGTAATACAGTCATCTAAAATGTCTCTAATTCTCATGGTATGTCAACTTCATGTTGTGTGACGTATGAATGATGGCCTGGCTAGACAAATGCGCATGGGCACAGAAGCAATTGAGACGCTGACTCTTATGGAGCTTTTAATATACTAAGTGTTCCAATTTTTAACTTTTAATTTGATGTTTTCTCATGATAGACTGGAATTAATATTTTCATTAATTAATTTGACTCATGTTTCTGTTCTTTTATTTATTTTAATATAGGTTTTTAGATTAAGCACTTTACAATTTTGAGAGCTACCATATAACTTCTTAGCAAATCTAATTAATGCTTTATTTTCAGATACATTTTAGAACAGGTCCTAAAGAATGGGCTCACGGGTAAAGTTGCCTTTGATGAAAATGGCGACCGGATCAATGCCGAATACGATGTTATAAACATACAAGAGTTCAACGAGACGACGGGTTTACGGAAAGAACATGTTCCTGTTGGACAATATAAATACAATAAAGTGAGTTGAAGTATGATAGAATACAGCTTATTCTTTCCATCCTGATTTATTTTTGGTGTATTAAATTTCCCAGATTTCATCATAGATGTTGTATGAATGTATTGTGCACAGTAGACCCATGCTCATGATCATGCTGTGCTCAGTATTCCTTAGCATTTACTGTATCAGCAGTTCGTGAGAACAACAGTAGACTCACAAGCATCCTTTCATTTTCATGCTATATATTAATAAAATCACTATATGATATTGTAAATAATTTACATTTGTTATCATTTTCTTGGGTTTATTCATTTTTTGAATGGTGTGTAACATACCTTGAGAGTAATAGTTTAAAGGAATTTGATTGCGGGCATTGTTAGAAATACCCAAATTTTTTGAATGCTTCAGCATCAGTCGCATTCTCGATACAGTTACACTTTCACCTCACCAGACACATCGTGGAGGTGATGCTCGTATGGCTGATTCCCTGTATTATGTTTTCTTTGTTTAATTGTTTGATGCATCTTAACAAATAGGCTGCATTGTCATGCTCTTCATCTCTGGTCTGTATGTATTCCCTGCTGTAGCATACATGGATATTGTTTATGTAAAGTGTCAGTGATCCTCAGGATATCATTCTCAACTCTATATAGTTCATGTGGTAGACGTTAGACAACCTGCGTCAACTAGCATATTACTGGGTGACATAATAGTGGCAGGGGCTTTGAAGAGTGACTAAGTAGCTTCACAGCCCTCATGTTTATGGCTAAGATATTAACAAGATCAAATCATAACTAGTTCCATGACTGACTGTTTTTACAGACAGAGCTTTGTCTGTGAAGCTCACCTCCTATTGTTACCTTCTGAGCAGTTAAACAATACACATACTCTACTGTATTACATTAATTTAAATTATTGAGCTAGAAGTTATAATTTGGTTATTTTGTTAGGACACTTAGCCATAAGTTTGAGGTGAAAATTTGGTTTACACATCCTAATCTCATGGTCTTCTGTCTTATTTTTCACAATTTATTGCAGTTACTCTAATTGAAATTTTCTAAGATTTTACAAACCACCTTATTCTGTGGCATATTCCAGCCATCCACAACTTAATTTAAAAATAAATATTTTCTTGTATATCTTCTACAGATTTTTGTGTTAGTGTGAGTGTGTATGTCTTCTTGTTCTGCCTGTAGCTGAAATAGTAAAATCTTCCTTATCCATCTGTTCATACTACCATGATAATCTTCCAAGTTCAGTAGATATCATGTATTTCCTTTTTTCTTTCTTCCAGAGTGGTAAGGTTAAATTTGTATCCTCTCTCTTATAGCTTACAACTTACAGTTCCAGAACCCATTTGGTAGCAGCTTCTGTACTCGTTCTACAGTAACTTGATTTGTTTCTTCAGGCGAGTCACCGCACCACTGCTGCATATTCCAACTCTGGTTTGATGAATGGTACAAATAAGCTCTACAGTATTTTTCCATCCATATACTTAAATTCCAACTAAAGATTGCCAGCATTGCATAAGAGCATGATGTAACTTTATATAGTGCTTTGGAGACTTATTTATAAGTTATAGTCAAACCCAGATCCATCTCTTTCTCCGATGTCTTCAGTACCTTGTCACTAACTTGTATTCTCTGTGGGGTCTATTCATGTCATTACGTGGCATTTCTTTGCACTGATTTCAAAAGTCATTTTTTGCTCAAGCTGAATATGTTATCTAGGTCTTCTTGCAGCAGTTTGTGTGTATACATGTGCAGTTAAGTGTAGTTACAGGATGCATGTTATACTCATGGTGTCTCGTCGGTTTAATAATCTTTGTCATACAGAGAGATATTTGAAGCTTCCAGTGGTGTTGTCACACACTATCCTTTCCTATAATTTATACTATCATTCTGTTATCAAAAATAATTTAATATGTGTTTGTATTAACTTGTTTTTATAGTTTGTAACTGTGTCCTCTTGTTCTTGATATTATGGTTCCAAAAATCACTCCTTATGAATTTTATTAGTTACTTTCCATACTTAAGGTTCCCGGTAGTACAGTCGGATTCATTCTTGACACACACTCGAGAATTCCAGGTCCAAATCCCGGGCAGGACAGAAATGGTTGGGTGCATTTTCTATCACCTAATGCACCTGTTGACCTAGCAGTAAGTAGGTAATTAGGAGTTGGTCAGCGTGTTGTGGGGTTGCATCCTGGGCAGGGTCAGTAATTCGACCTTGGGGTGGGAATCTCGATATAAGCCTAACATGAATGAATACACTCTAGCTGCCTGTCCCCTGACATAATGAATTATTATATACAGTATAATTATTTTATTTGAGGTGATCCTATTCCTTTTTTTTCTGTTTTTCAGTTTTGGCATATTTAGTGCCTCCAACCTTTTCTCATAGCTCTTATTGTTAAGTCTGAAAGACATTTAGTAGCATGCTTTCTGGGGGGAGCCCCTACGGCTCCCTGGAGCTTATCGGGCTAATGTGTGTTATGTTAGACCGGGACATTAGCTATGGAGTTCAGACCTACCAGGGACCAGCGCCAGAACCTGGCCCCTTCAGAGAGGTTTCAGGGAGCAATGGCCCTGGAAAACCCCATATGGTTGGGGGTTTTCCTTATCTGCCATCGACCGGGGTTAGGCACCCAGAAAGGTAGGCGTAACAAAACAAACCCCACATGGTAAAAAACTACAACAAAAACCGAACAGAGAGGTAGAAAACTCCCTACAATCCCAAGGAAAACAATCAAACAATCAATTTACTGCCGCGCCGGTCGTCCGCGCAGCCCTCCCCTCCCCGGGAGGGGGAGGGGGGGGGCCCCGGACCTCACCGCGCCGGCTGCCGTAAGTTCGCAAGCTAGTGTCAACCGGGATAGACGCTTCTCTGGCCTCAAATTCCTTGGCGGTGTTTGCCTCGTGTGGCGTTCTCTGCTGTTGTTGTGGTGTGCGGTGGCCAGGAGTACCTCATCAGTGCCGGGGCTGCATGCGTCTAGGGCTTCCTTCCCTAGGCGCCCTGTGAGTACTGCCCTTGCGTGTCAGGGTTATCTTCTCTGGGGCGTTCGGGAACCGCTCCCGTAGAGGTTTTTGCTGCTCGGCATTTGCCTCGCCCTTGGGGCCAGCTGGGGCTTGGGGCCCTTGTTTGGCCTTGGGTAGGGAGTGGTTTTGTGCTGGTTAGGGCGTCAAGGTGTTGCGCGGCCTGCCACCTAAGCGGCGACCGGTTCCTGTTGCTCTGGGGACGGTGTACTTTTGCGGGGTTTTTCTTTTGTTTTGTTTTTGGTTGCCTGGTGGAGGTGCTGCCTCGTGGGCCCATAGTTCCCCTGGTATTGTTTTGGTGGTCCTCTGCTAGGCCCCCGTGCTTGTACACGTCCCAGGGGCTTTCAGTATTATCATTTACCCGTGTTTTGTTTGGGTTTCTTAACCGGTTAGCAACACCTTGCCCGGGCTTCCCGTAGTTGCTACCCTACGGGCCCTGGAAACCCCTGTCGGGGCTCGGGGACCCATGGAGGCGTCTCCCGAGTTCCAGCCTGCCTTGTGCGGGTTTGAAGGTTGCAGTGTGCCCTTGTCTCAGGGTGACAGTCACCTGTTTTGCCTCCGTCATGCTGCCTGTTGGGTCAATGACACCTTTGACCCGGAGTCTTGCGAGTCCTGTTCTCTGCTTGTGCTCAGGTTTTACTCTGAGGATGTTCCTATTAGAGTACAGGCAGCATCAGCGTTGCATGTTAGATTTAGGTTATTGCAACGCGCTAGGTTGGTTTCCCACCTGGATGCCCCGAGGCTGCCCCGTTTTGGCTTTAGGGACCCTGACCTGGGGGCGTTGATTGCTATGGCTTTGACTCCTACGCCCTCTGGTCCTTCCCCTGTGGTTCTTCCTGCACCACCCCCCCTGTGTCCGGCTCCGAAACGTATGCGGCTTTCGGCTTTGGCACAGGATTTAGTTGGTGGAGAGACTCGGGCTGCTTCGGGGGCTGCCCCATCCGGGTCGGGGACGGAGGCATTTGAGCCGGTTCCTCCTGCCGAGGCTTCTGGGTCCCACCAGCAGGCCCCCTTGTCTGCCTTTCCCTTGGACACTACCTTTTCTTCAGGGGTAGAGGGTTTGGAGGACGGCTCTGCCCCGGGTCCCGACGTAAGGGATCCTGGGGCTGGGGAGGAGTCGGCCTGGGGGCCTTGGGCCCCCTGTGACCCCGCTTGGGTGCTTTTGCCTTCCCCACGGGGTTTATTGTTGCAGGGGGAGGGGTTTTCTTATCCTCCCTCCCTGTATGAGTATGATTTGGGTTCGGCTCCTCCCCGTGTTCGGTTCCGGGCGCCTTTGGGTACCTCGGCTCCGTCTTTACAGGGGTTTGCTACTTCCCGTCTCTCTGCGAAGGTGGCTCGGGAAGCTCTTGCTGCATACCTCTTGCGAGACCCGGGTTATGCCTCCCCAATGGATCCGTCCTCGTTTGAGTTCGGTTCTTCTTCCCGTTTTTGGGTACGTTTGGAGGTTCCGGGGTCTTCCTGGCTAGCAGACTGCCCTTTCTTTTCGTTGGGGGCGTGGCATGGGTTCTGTCGGACCCGCACGCTTGATTGGCGCGAGACTGCTACTTTTATGCAGGTTTACCTGGGGGGCGAGTTTGAGCACCTTAATGCGTGTTTATTCGCTCCTGTGCTTTCTCGGGATGTTGGCCTTTTCCAGCTTCACGTGCAGGTTCCTCAGCTTTCGGCTTCATTGGTTGCGGAGGAGTTGCGCTCCCGTGGGCATTTGGCTTCGGTCTTGCGTTTCTTTTCCCTTCTCGAGCTCTCTTCTACTTGGCTCGAGGAGGATGTGGGAGCGTTGGCTGAAGGGCCTTCGTCCGGGGCGCTTTCTTCGGCAGCTAGGGCGTCGGCTGCACTGTTGAAGCTCTTTGCGCCCATCCTGAAGGAAGCGGTGTCTCTGTTTTTTGCTTCTCGCCTCGCGTGCCGTCAGGCTGTGCTCGCCCTCTCTTTGGATTCCGCTTGGGCCCTGGCTCTTAGGTTTTCGTCTCCTTTTTGTCCGTTGCTGTTTGC